AAAAAGAAAGCTATTATAGGTTTTGACTCACAAAATCGCATTACATTATATTTATCAACATACCGTGGATTGGGGTAAGCTGTTTTTTTTATGGCATCCTCATTGTCTCTGCTACAGGCAATTTCATCCTCTTTGCTGCTATCTTCATTGGAACTGGAAGTGATCTTTTCGATTATGCTTTACTGGTCCATGGATCTGTTACATTCAACTCCATTGGTATAATAAATGTGCTTGCTGCTATCGCCTCCAATAAAGTGAGTAGCTGTAATTTCCTTTGCCATACCATAGCGATTCCCTAGAAAATAATAGAATAGAAAAGAACGAAGATTAATTAATTAAGTAATTATTTTATTTTTAAGATTACATTGAACAGACTGTGCAATTATAAAATTGCTAGACGCTGCAAATTCAATCTCCGCTTGTCTCTTAAGGTAAAATATGCTTTAGTGTTGCTCCAATATATCGAATGAATCGATAAATATCAATATTTTGCTCTCGATATTTATTGATATCTGGTGAAATATATCGATACTTTCAATGCTTTAGTCAGAAGATCAGAAGAAGTTATTTTGTTTTTTACTTGCTTTTTTTTGTTACATTTTTACTGAGTATTTCTAGTTTGAAGTGAATTCAATATTACAACATGCCTAAACGCTCCCATGCATGGGATTTTTTTGAAAAACAAAGTGGAAAAGTGATTTGTTCGAAGTGTAAAGGTGAAGTAAAAACCACTGGAAATACATCAAATATGCTACGGCATTTGGAGAATCACCACATTGATCTTTTTTTAACCCATTTCAAGGGACAAAATGTAAAGCAAAGAAGAATTGATACTTCAATGAATATGATTTCTTCGATAAAAAGTAAGTATTTTATTAAGCCATACATGTTTTTATGCATAATATTTTGAATGTTTTTACTAATAGTTATTTTTTTTAAGGTGGTGATCTCAAATCAACCATAGATGAGAAACTTATCTGGTGGATAATAGATGATTCAAGACCTTTTAATATGGTTGAAAGCAAAGCATTTAAATCGTTTATTAAGTCACTCAATTCTAATTATGATGCACCAGGGAGGAAATCTGTCACGGATAAAATCGAAAAGCTGTATGGAACAAAGAAGGAGCTGGTTATAAGTCATCTTAAAATGATAAGAAGTTTTACATTAACAACAGATTTATGGACTGATACGACAAATACACGTTCATATATCGGACTTACAATTCACTTTATTGACAACTATGTGCCAATCAAGTTATGCTTAGCGGCCAAAGAATTTCCTCACAATCATAGTGCTCAAAATATTTCAACGCTAATCAAAGATATATTGGACCAGTTCGAGATTGATATTGAAATAATATTTGCTACAGTAACTGACTCAGCAGCAAACATGAAGCTTGCAATGAAGGATATTAGTGCAAATCACATTGGTTGTGTAGCTCATAAGTTGAATTTAGTGGTGACTGATTCGCTCGAATTTGACCGAGATTTAGTTAATCTTATTGTTAAAATAAGGACAATTGTTACCTACTTCAAACAGAGTAATAAAGCTAGTTTAGCTTTGATTGAGGAACAAAAAAAGGACGGTGTTGACCAACTCTTGAAGTTGAAACAAGACGTGTTAACTAGATGGAATTCAACTTATATAATGATCGAAAGGATGTTAAAATTACGTAATTATGTTTCTCTTTCATTGCGGAAATTATTACGTGAAGATTTAGATTTGGATTATCGAGAAATCGAACAACTTAATGATGTAATGTTGCTACTTAAACCATTTTACCAAATGACTTTGGATATGAGTGGGGAAAATTATGTTACAATTTCACGTGTTATTCCCCTTGTTACGATGGTTTTCAATCTTCTTAATACAATACAAACAACTACATATATTGGTGCAACTTTAAAAGCTAAATTGGTATCTAATCTTGAAGAACGATTTGCTAACATTGAAAGAAACCATCTTTTTGCATTCTCCACTATTCTTGACCCAAGATTCAAGCTAATTGACTTCAGAAGTCCTGGTGATAGCGCTCTAGCTGTATCTAAACTCAATCGTGAGCTCAAAGAAGTTAATCTTACACAAGTTATAGTTCCAGAGCCAGAATCAGAGTTGAATTTATGGAGTCTGCACAATAATCTTGTTTCAAGAATTACTACTGTTGATTCTAGTCTTAATTCTAGTCTTAAACATTATCTAGAACTAAAAAACATCGATCTCAAAGATGATCCTCTTGACTTTTGGAAGCGGTACAAAGAAAACTTTCATCACTTGCATAATATTGCTATTAAATATTTGAATATTCCTGCCACCTCTGTCCCCTGTGAAAGACTATTTTCCAAGACAGGACAGATAATTAATGAAAAAAGGAACCGAATCTCACCTTCACATGTAAACGCTCTTTGTTTTCTTGAATCTCTTCCTGAGATATTTCGTTAATTTTTACCAATAAATAAACAATATTTTTTGACTCACTAATATTTTTGACTCAACAATATTTTTCGATTCACCAATATTTATCGATATTCTCTGAGCAATATATTTTTTATCGATATCTTCTATTGACTCATATCGAACATCACTAGCCTCCGTTAGCCTGCTTTTTTACTACAAGAATTGGTTACCCAAAAATGACATTTCTCCCTCCACACTGCCATCTGTTGAACATTAAACCATTAACTAAATTCAAAATTCAAATTCTTTTTAACATTTAATTTATTTATTGGAAAAATTTTAATCATCAAATCTACCATTACTTTTATTTTATTAAAATCATCACTCCCTATCTTAGAGTTGACATTAAATCTTGTGTTACCTAGTGATTTTTATTCTTATTCACTTGTTATCGACAACAATTGTTATTTTTTTGCTAACAACTGTGATTTTCACAATTTACTCGCTTTATTTGGTTATCAGTGATTCCAAATGGATAAGATATTTCATTGACAAAGAGTCTTGCCTTTTTTTGTGACTTTAATTTTCATTCACTTTTCGTCTTTTTGCCATCTTTAATTGGTGATTTTGATGTCCTTCAACAAACACATTTTAATCCATCTTTCATTAACAAG